AGCTACAGCAACTAAATCAACAACTGCAACTTCAGTTGGATCAAGTGCAGGTGGATTTTTATTTTTTTTCTTCAATATCTTATTTTGACTTCAAAAATCTGTTTACGCGTGAGACAATAATTGAATTTAACACACGTCAAGTGCTGTTCAAGATTTGTAATTTTAAACATTGATTTGACGTGCGTCTGTTATCTTTCTTTTCCTGTCTATTTAAAAAAAAGGGGGTAATGGGGAAAAATGGACATGAATACAAACCGATACATATGAAGTGCTCACAATTACAAATCGTAATGGCATCGATGTAGACTTTTTTTTTAATGATTTTTGTTTTTTAATGCAGATACAACAATCGCAGCAGCCACAATCGCAACCGCCACAACAATCTCACCAACAAACTCATTCACAGCAAACCAATATAGTTGCTAATAGCACTGGTAGCATACTTATGCCCACTCAATTGATGTCGCACTTGCATCCTACGCATCATCATTTGCACAATCAGGTAATTATATCGTTAAATGATTATTTAACAGTTATTTTTGTATTGAAACACATGTTAAAAAAACACATTTTTAATAGCAAACGGCGCAAGAAAATCTTCCTGAACAAACGGATCCTGAATTGACGCGAAAATACAGAGAAAGCGCGTGCGCGTTTTTTACTGGCGCTCAGAAATCTAAAACTTTCTCGCCTAACGAGAGAGTATTGAAATTAGAGGATGGCACGGATATTCCTATCGATGATGCGTTTGAAATTTTTCGTTCCATCAATTTCGACGATCCAGTTGACAGTAAATATTTTTATGAAGTTTAAGAAGGAAAAAAATAGTAATAATAATTTAACCTTTCATTATTCCATTTCGATATAGCAACAGAAGATCAAGAGAAGCTTGAGTTAAAAAGATTGGATGTATCGAATAACAAGGAACAGCAACAACAGCAACATTTGCATACTACACAAATAGTTCAGCAAAGTGGAAGTCCTCACGTATCCCAAGAATATTTTACTCCTGTGCTATCAGTACCTTCGGTTTCTTTACCGGCCTTACCGTCATTGCAAGTGACCAGCGCTGGTGTTCAAATAGAGGCAGACATATCAGCGGGTTTACAACTAACAAGTACGCAATCCTTGCAAAATCCAACGCTGAAGAATCGTCTGAGGGCCTTCGAGGAAGGTTTCCGTCAAGGTAGCATACATTTTCGCGAATGTATGCAACATATTAGCAGCGATACTTTCCAACCTCAATTGTTGCTTCAGTCCTCTCAAATAAGTAAGTTGTGTACGTTCATCATTAGCACATCTATAATATCACTGAATTTCTCACAATAGTGAATAATTTTTCATTTACTTTTTTGTTACTAGCATTTCCTACACAAACATTACCAGCTGTGAGTGGCGCACCGGGGATAATAGATAGTATACCTCCTCATCAATCAAGTAATTATGTGCAATCCACAACTTGCAGCACTAATCAAGTTCAAGTTGCTACCCAGACTCAAGCACCCGCTACTACAACAACTGCGAACGTTGCTACCTCCGATAAGAAACAAGTGTATACCGCACCAACAACCGGCAAGGGCAAGAAGGCCAGATATCCTCTCCTGTCTCAGCAACAGTCTTGCCAGCAACAACAAACTGCCAATGCTCAACAAACTCCTAACTTTCCTGCGCAAAACTATCAGCTAGATCCAGCGACAGGTAAGAATTATGCGACATTGCGATTTCCGTTGTAATCGCACTGATAATATCATGCGATGATGCTCAAAATAAATTACCAAGAGTGTCCTCACTGTTTAGTTATTGACCAATGTACAAAATAGGTGTCCCAACGGTCGGTGGATACGCGTCTAACCAAGTTCCACCCGCTCCGTTTTCGTGTATAGATGTTGATTCAGAAACTGACAGCAATCACGATACTGCGCTGACTTTGGCTTGTGCGGGAGGGCATGAAGATCTTGTAGAACTTCTTCTGAGTCGCGGTGCAGATATAGGTAAGTGAAATATACATCATTATGTGGCTGAATTTAATTACATCAAATTTTCTAGTATATTTAATATATAAAAAATATATTTGTTGCCTGCATTATGAAATATAGAGAAACTTTTTATCAAGCTCGTAACGAATAAGCTAACATACTTTCTTCCATTTCTTTGTAGAACATAGAGACAAGAAAGGATTTACGCCGCTTATTTTGGCCGCAACAGCTGGTCATCAAAAAGTAGTTGAAATTCTACTCAATCATGGAGCTGACATAGAAGCACAATCTGAACGTACCAAGGACACACCACTGTCTCTCGCATGCAGTGGTGGTAGATACGAAGTAGTTGAGCTTCTACTCAACCGCGGCGCAAACAAAGAACATCGCAACGTTTCTGATTATACTCCCTTGAGTTTGGCTGCATCCGGTGGTTATGTGAATATAATAAAGCTTCTACTGAGCCATGGTGCCGAAATTAATTCACGAACTGGTTCGAAATTAGGCATATCTCCGCTAATGTTAGCAGCTATGAATGGTCATACCGGTAAGAAAATTTGAAATTGCTTATTCATAAATAGTACTTGACAATAACGAATTCCAATTTGTTAGACGTAAAAAACTTTTCGTCATGACTGAAATACTAAAAGAAATATATATGGCATTTTAATGTACAGCGGCAGTTAAATTACTATTGGATATGGGGAGTGATATTAACGCGCAAATCGAGACGAACCGTAATACAGCATTGACACTCGCATGCTTTCAAGGAAGACACGAGGTCGTTAGTCTTCTTCTCGATCGAAAAGCCAATGTTGAACATCGAGCTAAAGTAACATATCTAATGTTTTAAGTAGTGAATGTAATTTTTGTATTGTACAAAATAATAACTTTTTTTGTTTTTTTTTCTTAAAGACGGGTTTAACACCATTAATGGAGGCCGCTAGTGGTGGATACGTCGAAGTCGGGCGTGTGTTACTTACTAAAGGTGCAGACGTTAATGCTACGCCTGTACCGTCATCTCGTGATACTGCTCTCACAATTGCTGCTGATAAAGGACACTGCCGTTTCGTAGAACTCTTATTATCGAGGTAATGTATCCCTGTATTTCATGTGTCACATTATGAAATAACAGTCCAAACGGAGAGTTTTTTTTTTCCCAGGGGAACTCAGGTCGAAGTAAAAAATAAAAAAGGGAACAGTCCACTATGGTTAGCTGCAAATGGAGGGCACCTTAATGTTGTGGATTTGCTGTTTCATGCAGGTGCCGATATTGATTCACAAGATAATCGTAAGGTACGCACGATAATGTGTTTGACGAGAGGCTCTTGCATAATAGTAGAATATGTTCTTTTTTCGAAGAATTCTGAACTAAAGCATGCAATAAGTTAGAGTGAAACAAACTGTAGCTATCTCACTCTGATTTATTATATGATCAATGTATGTCAGTTCAGAACTTGGAATAGAAAAAGAACAAATGTTATGTTTTTTCTATTATTATTAGATATTAGATATTAGAAATAAAATATGTACGTAAAATATATTCTATAACGATTAGGTTTCCTGTCTAATGGCCGCATTCCGAAAAGGTCATATTAAAGTGGTCAAATGGATGGTGAATCATGTAACGCAATTCCCAAGCGATCAAGAAATGACGAGATACATAGCTACAGTTAGCGATAAGGAACTTTTGGAAAAATGTCATGAATGTGTGAAAGTTATAAGAGCTGCCAAAGAGACGCAGGCCGCTAAAGCAAATAAGAATGCAAGTATATTGTTGGAAGAACTCGATATGGAAAAAAATAGAGAGGAATCGAAGAAAGCGGCTGCTGCGCGTAGACGAGAGAGAAAGAAAAAAAAGAAGCTCGAGAAGAAGGAGGAGAAACGTAAACTTCATGAAGAATACAAGAAGAATGAGACAGTTTTTGAGGATAAGGAAGAAAGCGGAAAGAAATCGGACGAAGAATGCGATCGAGCGGATGACAGCGAGCATGAGGGCGGCGACGAAAGAATGGAGAGCGTGCCGTCTCCTGTAAACAGAAGCCCAGAAGATCCCGATAGAGAAGAGGGTGACAGTGGAATAGATGCAAACAGTCAGGGAAGCTGTAGTAGCAATGATGTAAAAGCGAGAGAGAAAAAGAAGGAAAAGAAGAAAAAGAAGAACAATAGTCCTAATAACAACGATAAGGATACGTCCCCACAGCGTTCGTCCAAGACCCTTCTTTCACAAAACACCAATTTATCTCAAAATATAGCGACATCGACAAAATCCCAAAATAACACTTTGGAAAAGTAAGAATACTCAAAGTTATTAAAGTAACAAGGGAAAAAAAATAATTTGACGTGCCTCAGGATTAAATACATTTAGCGTACAGATAATGTTAAACGTTGGTTAAATATTGTAAAGTATAAGTGTAGACAGCACGATACAATCAAAAAGATCTGATTTTTTTAAATTTATATATTTAATATACAATAAGATAGGAAACAATATATTATATATTTAATATATTTTAAGGTATAAGAATAGAACTAGCTCGAAAAAAAATTGTTATTCTTGTTTTTTAAATAATATTATTTTTTAAATAATTGTATTTTCAAGAAGAAAGATTCAGTGTTTCATAAGACGAATTATTCTTTATTTTAGAGCAGCATAATTTTTGCGTGTTTACACAATAATAGAATAAATATATGGTATATCATATGTAATCAAATATTGATTATCCTTGATGTTATTTTACATGTCAATAATGTAATTTCTGCAGGCGAATTATAAATAACGTTACCAGCGCAATATCTGTATCTACAACTTCGGTCACAACTACTAGAACATCCACTACCGTCAGTTCCGATCGAAAGCTGAAAGGACAATTAGTTTTTGAGTCCTCCAGACATCCCGCTGATAGAGAAGATTTTGAAGCAACTGGCAACGAGACTTATATTCCTGGCAAAGGAAAAAAGTCTTATAATAATCAGTACGATGGAGATGTTCTAAACACATCGACGAAAGCGAACAACACTAGCCCTAAACAAAGCGGAAAACGCGAAGAAGGATGGAAGGAAGTTGTACGAAAGTAAGATATGTGTACTTAAAGACATTCAAAGTTCAGAGATATTTTTTCAAAATGTTTTTCTTTCTTTATTTTGATAGTTTAATATTATCTTTTATAAATAGAATCATACAATATAATTGTGATTTGTAGGGGACAATCGGATGATTCAGGCAGATTTATGAATTCACCGTTCCGTTCTAAGAAAGTATCCGTTCCCCCAAATGCTATCAGCCGAGTGATAGGTAGGGGTGGCAGTAATATAAATGCTATTCGTGTTGCAACTGGTGCGCACATCGAAGTAGAAAAGCAAAGTAAATGCCAAGTGGAAAGAATCATTACGATTAAGTGAGTATTAGATATTGTATATCCTTTAATATATAAAAAGTTTATATACTTTATACATAAAAAGATGTATACCAATCAAATCTATCGTCTTAAGGACACAAATTTTCAATTTTTTTTGTCATTTAAAAAAGAAAAAGAATCTTTTCTAAAAAAGAAAAAAAGGTTTTCACCATCACAAAAAACACCACAATGTCGACATTTTATTTTTTCCACATAAATATTTCTCTAATTTTATAAAAAAATTAAATTAAATTAAATTAAAATATCTTAAATTTAACAAATAAGAAAATTTTTAAAAAGTTTTTATCTATGATTTAAGAAGATATCTTGATTATATTAGATGAAAATGTTGGTATTTCAAATTGTCATTTTGTTGGTTTCGTAGGGGCTCATCTGAAGCAACAAAACAAGCTCATTCATTGATATCAGTACTTATTAAGGATCCAGATGTAGATATATTACAGATGCTTCCGAAATCAAAACTCAATGTCGTAACAACCTCTTCGTGGGACAAATCTGTCTCCACTGTTGCTGTAAGCAGAAAAAATAAAACTATAATAAGTTTTATATAGCTGTATATAGAGCGATTTAATAAACTAATATCTTCTTTCAGGCAAGTAAAACGAAAATTGGTGGTTCTGTTAATAAATCATCTAATCTGGCATCCAGTACAACCAGTAACCAAATTAATAAATCAGGATATCCTTCAGGTGTGTCCACTACTAATCCCTTGGTTCCTATTCGCTCATCAAGCATGAAGCTTGCTGGTGCTTTTCCTACTTCTTTGCCACGTGCGACAGCGCCTAGACTTATGGCCGCAGGTAATGTAAAACAATTATTGTTCACGAAAATAATATCGAATATTTTATTTTTCTTTCATATTCGTGTCTGTTATCACGTATAAAAAAATATGCGTAAAATTGATCAGAATGAAATTTCAGAATATTAATTACATAGTGCTATTTTTTAAAATGAGACTAATCGAAAGATTTCAAATCATTTTTTTAATACGATTTTTTATTAAGAAATATACACACAAAAGTACGCACGCGCGCGCATTAAAAGCGTACAAGTAAAGGCAAGACGTTATTGCTAATGTATAATAATTCATATCAAAATGAATGTAATATTGTTGAAATGTTTTGAGCCTTTTTAGAAATCTAATTTTTAATATTGTTATACATAGTTAGTGGGTACAAATTGTAAATCAGTCTATAAAAATCTAGAAATATAGTCGACAAGGAAAGCAAAAATTACAATACGTACTTTAATTTTGTATTAAATATCATATATCAATATTAAACTTACGTGTGCACATATAGCGGAGAAACGTGCTCAAGGCGTAATCCAAATGGCGTCCTCATCAAACACCAAGACGACAATGTCGTATACGAGTGCGATTATGACCGCCGGTAGAGCGGGGACAAAGATTGTCACGACCAGCACGACGCAGACATTCGCGGCGAAGCTATCCGAGATCACTGCCTCGACTCACAGTTCCACTACCGTCATGCAGTCCAGTCACACCGCACCGGTAAAGCAACAGAAGCCCATGGCGCATGCTACGACCGTAACTATCATGTCGGCCACATCTGCGGCAACTGCTCACACAACCAGCCAGCAACAACAGTCCATAGTCAGTACATCGCCGAAACACTGCCGATCACTGCCCACCTTGACCGCCCCGTCGGCAATAGCATCTCACTATTCCGGGAAGTCGAGTTACCCTCCAGGAACGATTGCGATTTCGTCGTCACCAGCCACAAACGCCGTGATGACAACGAACTGTCCGGAAAATTCAATCGTCTCGACGTCTGCCAGTTCCGTTCGAGTGACACCTTCGCCACCGGTTGTAGCGCTGCAAACGCAGACATTGCCACCACCACTACCAACGGCACAACAACAGCAGCAACAGCAACAACCGATGCAACAACAACAATCGCAACAAAATATTCGCAGCACTACGCCGATTGTGACTCAAGAGCATCAGCAGCAACAACAGCAGCAGCAGCAACCTAGCAGCACGCCTCTAGAGTATTCTCTGTTTAACGATACTTTTACTAAAGTCACGCAACAGTCAATGTGGGGAGGAAGAGAAAATGAAACTCAAAAAGGCATGAATTTTGCGACTGTTGCGGGCGGTGGTGTATCGTCAAACACGAACTCCGGCCCATCTGCGGCTAAGTTTGATAGTTCTCCACCGCAGGTATGTTGAAAATGGATCATCTCTATTTGATTTTTTTCGTATTATAAGAATACACACAATACGAAATAGTCTCATTCGTACAATAGGAGAGTCAAAAGTACATACGAATTTCGCCTAAATTTATTTAAATTTATTTTACTTATCCCCCTCGTCCCCTCACTATCTCGTGAATAAGTGACATGACAATATTCAAGTTTGCGCGAGAAATTTGCATCGGAAGTTTCTCGTGAATTTTTTTAATGTAAATTTTTAGAAAATGTGCATTTAAGTGATAGCATGTAATAGAAAAATTATTATTTTATAATTACAACAGTATTTTAACGGATATTTAACATCATAAAAATAATATTGGTTCGATTAAAATCAATTAAAAGTTCAAAGATTCGATGCAGATTTATAGCGAATATTTGAATCCGTTGTGCTTGTGAATTAGTGGGGCTAATACATGAACATTTTAAATTTTGTCGAGCACAGGTAGATGCGTCCAAAGCTCCGGGATACCGTGGTACTGCAATGTGTTCTCCGGTATCCAGCAAGCCGGGTAACACAAGCAATACTTCGACCAACGTGATTGGCAGCGTGGTATCATGTTCCGTGCACAACAATCCTATGCAGCCCGCGCAATTTCAGTCTTCGACGAGCTACAGCGAGCATCCATTACCGAACAAGCCGCCCGGTAGTCTAGCGGTGGCTAGACCAGTAATACCCCAACAGAACATTGATATGGGAACGGGCATGGCAGCACAGTTCAATAGACCAGCGGTTTTTCAGGGTGATCTAACAACACGGAACGCGACGACCCATCAACCGGCAGCACACGTGATACCATCTACATCACAGCCGACACTGGACGTCAGTCTGTTCAAGGCGGCGAACAGCAGCAGCGGCAATTATGAGCATCCGAACGTCAACTCTAGCCTGTTAAAAATGATGCCGAACGATAGTCAGAGTAGCGCCGGTCATTCTCTGCTACCGTTTCATCCTCACATGCAGAGTTTCGCTCAGACTATTGCGCCATCCGCCTCCGTGATTAACACCACCGTTAGTATGTCAAGATTGAATCCGCGCGCCCCTGACTTCTCCAGTTCGCTTCACCTGAGCAATAAGCCACAAGTGACGATGTTCAATGCTGCCGCCGGATCAGCAGGATTGCACCCGGCCAACATGTTTGCCGCAACCGTGCCGGCGCCACCGCCGTCCGCCATACAATCCAATAATCTGGCGATGCTCGGCAACTATCAGTTGGGAAAATATCAAGCGCCCTCGCGGGCAACGCCAGCAGCGAACACTGGCATCTCCACGACCGCTCAGACGACCCGCTGGCCGTTTGCCACACCGGCACCACATACTAGCTACCCGCCACACCAGGATCCCATGATAAGCCAGATGGGATTCTCTAATCAACTTACCAACATTGGCGGTCAACCCGGCGGTGGTGGCATCGATCTGATTACGACTCTGGAGAACGGTGGTTCGCCGGCCATATCTCCCTCGTCGCCGGCGCAAGTCGTTCAGGAAATGAACCAACTCAAAATCGAAGATCGCAAAGTACCACGACCGATCGGTACTGAAAGAGCAACGTGGAAGAATTACTCGGCAGCTGGCATGGGTCCGGGCGGGGACGCCGATTCCATCAGTTGGATGCTCAATGAGAAACTAGCATGGTCGAATTGCAACCTGGCGCCTGGTATCGACAGGCACCAGATGTTTCGATCGAATCCCACTTATAATCAACGTATATCCAATGTCGAACCTGAGCTTCATCAAATGATGGAATCTTCCTTCCAGGTAACTGTCAGTTCTCTCGCACGATTACATGATTAATTTTATTACTTGCAATTATTTTTATCCAATAATTTATTATACTTTGTGCAACATTGTTACGTATAATGGTAAGAAAAAGATCTAGGATTTAAAACTGCATAAGTACTTGATAAAAGTAATTAAAAAATTCACATAACTTGAAAAATTCATCATGTTAAAGATCAAAATAACACTTTCTGCTTTGATAATATACTAATAAATGATTCCATTACGATTTTGTATAAATTATATATTTTTTACATCAAAATGATGATTTTTGCAAATATAAAGGGTAAGAAGTTGTTGATATTAACAAAATTAAAAATCATTGTTATCTCTGACATCCATCCCTGTATGCTTAATTTTTCACTTATGTATACACACACACACACACACACGCGCGCGCGCGCGCGATAAAAATGAACAAATTTGCATAGTTATAAGCTTTTTGTAATATCAAAGATTAAGATTCGCATCTCTATCATATATTATTTGTTTGCACATGCGTGTAATTAATTTTATCGTGTTTAGGGCCATGTGAATACACAACAGCCTTTTCCGACTAATAACGGAAATACGACAATGTCACTCATACCAGCATTGGCGTTATTGCCGGGACAATTTGACCTGGCAGAACTCCCGCCGGGCGAGCAGAATAAGATAGATCCACCTGCGTGGGGAATGCCCGATGCTGTACAAGACAAGCAACATCCGGTAAGATTTTTTTATCTAGTAAAATTTCTCCGATTTGAAACTTTTTTTTCTTTTTTTTTTCGAAACTACGGATAACGATAAATACTATTGTAGGGAACTATGAATATATTAATTTTACTTATTTGCAGGCATGGACTAAATGGACTCATTAAAAAACACAAGAACTGATTGTGCTAACACAGCTTCAACCTCTAAATCTTAACATATTTTCATATTTTGGATCTGACGATGAGAAACGAAGAGATAGTAATAGCGATAGTCTGAATTGGATCAATTATTTGTAGGCACATAAATTATATTACAATCTTATTATATTCATTCAAACCCAGATTCTCTCTTAATATTGCTTGTCACACTAGAGGATAAGACGATAAATCCTTAATTATTCAATTTATTGCTAATATATTTCCCGAGTTAATTACAGAAGCAATTATAAGCAATATCCACAAGAGTAAAAGAAAAAGAAAAGAGAGTCTGTGTCGATTAAGGAAAACAACAGTAGGATAATAACAATGTAATTAATTATAATTACCTCAGATCTGTGTTATGCTTTTCATAGTCGTACAACATGTTCCGTTATTAATCGTTGATCAGCAGAAACGTTGTTATTCCTCAATAATTGAATGTTAATAATGATGATTTATTTTCTATTGTCGAAAGAATCTGAATTTGTGATATTCGGAAATAATTCGGATTGCGATATTTTGAAACATATTTGTCAAATCCTTTAAAAATATCATATAATATATAAAATGATCTAGATACACATAAAACAATATGTACACATAAAATTTACATTTTGCATCGCCACTTTAGTCTCTAGTAGCGTTAACTGACGTTTAAAATTTTACTAGATATATAAATACTAGATATATAAATCCACATTATTATGAGACAGACTCGTAATAGCGAAGCGTATTCGCCAGATCACAATGATTCAGTTATATATATTTTTCATAACATGTTTTAAATCGCTACTTCAGTCTGTACAATGCAACGATGGAACATTTGACACAGATCGTATCACAAGTGGATACGAATTATTATATCCAAGACAAAGCTCTTTCTTCGAATTACGATTAATTTAAAATTTCGTTTGCTTGCGTTGAGGACAGCTGTGTTTCTAGCACCACCATATCGAACGATAGGTGATGAAAATTACGTGTTACTATTTAGAGCGCTGTAAAGAAACGCTGTAATTTTACGAACATGTTACAATCGTGTAAATAATTGCTTTGCAAAACGAGAGATTCCGATTACTTCCATGTTGCAAATTGAGAGTGAAGAATTGAGACTGAAGAAGACAGTCCGAATAAAAGATACGAAGAAAGTCTTGGGAACCATATTGGCTTCGAACCTGGGTACATATTGCTCTTCTTCCACTTTTGCACTTACGCTTGAATTCATTATTGTAACTCTGTCAATTTTGACTGTTGCTTCTAAACTGTGCTCCTCCAGAACAGATAGGTAGTAATTAGAGAAAAACAAAGAGAGGAGCGTTCCTTAGCACTGTAGACTCTCGCGATCGTCGATTACATCTTAATCGCCCCCTTGAAGAGCACTTTCACTTTATTTCCACCTAGACGAACGTTTATATAGTTTTTCATTGACAAGTTACGTTAGTGTTACTTGATCATTTACTTGATCGAAGATACGAACAAAATGAAAACGATGAGCGACACAATTCCAACCGATTACTTAAAGGGTGATTAAATAAAGGAGGTTTCATTGGCCACACAACCGTTCCGGTATAATACATTTTCATCTTTGCATTTTGTTTCGTAGATGAAGTTCTTTATCGAATAATTAATGAGCATCGCGTAATATGAATCGCGTACTGTTTCAAGCAGATTCATCAGATACAGATTATCACGAGCGAATTTTTATCAAGCTCACACAGCACGCAGAACGTGAAAATTCTATATGTACCCCATACACGCGTAAACGTCGCGACCAGGTTCTCGGGAAAATCGAATTTATCGTAAACGTTACAAGAGATATGTCACGAATCGAATACGCAATGTACTAATAATATATTATATATACCGAATCCTATTCAGATCAATGAATACAGTTCATTGTAAAAGTGGTAGTGGGCCGCCAACGCATGAGGATATAGCCGTGCGTCCCTAGTGCGACAGTGCTATTATAATATTATTATTGCTGTGGTGGTGTAATAATGTTTATTATTATATTATGGTTATTATTACACGCAAAACATAATTATAGGAAAGAAAGACAAAAAAAAAGAAAAAAAAACAGATACATAGAGAAAGGGAGAAAAAATCACCCTGCTATCTCGGCTGGACTTAGTAATGATATAATAATATTATATAGATAAACAAACACACACACTCGGATATATGAAATGTTCATTTCGATTGAACATTTGAAAATCTTTCTTGGTGGGGATTTCGGCAAGTGTTCAATACATAGCGACGATATACTATAATTGAAACGGTCCCCACACGCGCGTAAGTTGAGACGATTATGATGATGAGAGAAAGAGATAATGATGAAGGTAATGATGATGATGATAATGATAATGATGTGAAGCTCATGGAAATCGTATGAGGGCTTTTTGACCTATATTCCAGGGAGCGCTTCAATTATTCTCTAAGGATATATTGTTATAATTTAAAGCCTATTTTCAAATTTGATTTATGATAACTGCGATATATGATATAAAACTATTATATGACATATAACAATAAAGCAAATAAATATAACGATGACGAATTGCGGTCTCTTCATTGTATTAACCTGCCTTTGATTCTCTTCTTCTTGAATTCCTTTTTCTTCGCGAATATCTTTATTTAAATCTGCGTATTGTTTAATCTCAATCTTTTGTTTTTATATTCTTTTTCGTGCAATGTTTTAAACAATTAAGTCTTTTGTTACTTATTTTAACCTCTGACTTCAACGATGAATTTGTATGGAAAAATTTTTTTCAATCTATTGAAATTTATTATGGATTGCACGTATTTATTACTCATGTAATAAAAAAATTAATTTTTTTACTAACTCATGCGTTCGAATATTTATTATTAAAATTTCAAACAATTAAAAATTAATAATTGTTTCAAAATGTTTATTCTTACTTTTTTCATTTTCCTAGTTCCCAACGTCAAAATATCAAATTTATAATTTTAATTTTCTTTTTGGATGATGAAAGGGATACTGGGAGTACAACGTCGGCTTGCATGTATCAGCGGCGATCGTGAATAATAATAATAATAATAATAATAATAATACGTTAATAGAACACTATATAACATGATAAATATCCAGTATCCATAGACTAAAAATTGTTTATATTTTTTATATTATTTCGTCGAAATATTCTTATGTAAATTAATCAAAGATAAATTATTTTCCGAATCTTGCTAATCATTGATGATATGAGTTTTAATTTTAAAATCTCAAAAAAAAGAAATATTCACGATAGAATATTAACTTCCATTTTGGTAAGGGAAATTAAGCACAGCAGTTCATCATAGAAAAATGTTTAATTCAAGAGAAGCTTATACGTTAATAATACAAAAAAAAGAAGAAACAAAACTTACAACATTTTAATAAAGAACATTTTTTATAACAGTCACTTTTTTACATTAAATAACAAAATTATAAAAAAATCGAGAACTTCACGCTATTTTGCCGCATCAGCCTAAAAAACATTGAAAGTGTCTCTAATTGTTGTAAATAATATTTACGATTTAAAAATCCAAATCACATAATTCTTCTATTTCGTCGGCGGTTTGACTGATGCGATAAAATTCACGATTTATTATACAGTAAAAATAATAAATATTTACATGTGACAGTATATTTTATACAGAAAGTCAGTACCGCTCGAAAAAGTTGGTATTGATTGTCAAACATGAGTTGACAGCTTTCTTTCTGTCTCTCTCTTTCTTCCCCCCCTCTCCCTCCCCCTCTGAATCGACTACACATAATCGTTACTACATTATATATAAAAAAATATATTTGTATAAAATAAATATATAATTATATGGTAGATTGACATGCCTCGTGATCACGCAATAATAGACTCTCCTTTAAGTAGCCAGCGCTAGTAAGTAAAATAAGTAAGTAGAAAAAACGTGAAAAAGGAATTAAGAAACCTGATTCGTCATAGACGGATTATGACGCAATATGATTTAAGAAATAAATTCATTTCATGTAGATAAACACATCGCATATCTAGTCGATCACAGAGAGTCCAAATTCCCAAGGATTTATAAACTCGCACGCAAGTGGTGACATCAGGAAACTAAACATTCGCTTATCCAATGATCACGTGGCGTATGCATAATATATATATATGTGTGTGTGTATTATTTTACACACAATTTCACGCACGCACACACGCGCGCGCGCGTGCGCGCAAATACATATGTGTATGAAATAAATAACGAAAGGATGATCCACGAAATAATATCTAATCTGCCTATTGATACAGTAAAATTATAACGATAAATAAAGCTGTTTGTACAAAGCAAAAAATAATACCCTCCCCCCTCTCTCTCGCTCTCTTTCTCTCTTTTGTAATCTTAAGTTTATAAAACTGTCTCTTATTGTAAGGAACAAAACGCTATTTTGTAAGTGGCAGTCCTCCATAGCCGAGTCGTCTCTGTAGCAAAACGATTCTTCCACAGAACTTGTCTCTCTTACATAGCGGAATAATAAAAAATAAAATTTCTTACGTCGCGTGATTAGAAGTATATTACATATGTTTACTTATATATTCTGCAATTCATTAATTTCTCTCGCTTTCTTTCTTCCTCACATATATATGTACATACACATTTTCATACATCTCACATTTGCAATTGTTCAAACATTACTCACACAATGCAATTGCATTGAATCAAAGTAAGTTTACGTCCATTATAATTATGTATAATAAACTTCCACACAACCATTTTTCACATTCCTTACAGATACATGTTGCAATAATAACTTTGACAGAACCGTTCTTCTTTCACATGCATACAAAATATCTTAAGAAATTCATCCGTGCTTTCTTTTTTTTAACATACTTCTCTGAGTTATACTTTTCTTTCATATAGTAATATAATATAGTTCAGTTAAATGTCTGCGACAGCACGGTTGTTATTAACGACAGCTTGTCAAAGATTATTGCGTCATTTTGTATTAATCTTGTAAATTCGCTATTCTATCTTTCCTCTGGCTCATATAAAAATAACACGCAATGCGAAGCTATCCAACATTGCTTTGTACATTCGCCCGTGCTCCAATGAAACAAAGTTGAACTTAACGAATCTAAAAAGTATTCATTGCCAAACTATGACGATTATTCGTACTATTGAGATGTGAAAAGCTATTAATGTAACTTAATGTAGAATGTGATGAAAGCGATTGCCGATACGAGCCGACAAAGGGTTCAAAAGACAGAGCTATTGATAAGATCCGGTCCAATTGTACTATATAATTTTTGCAAATTTATTTTCTAACAAAAATCAAATGTTAAAAAAAAAGAAATTATATTAAAAAAAAAACAATATTTACCCTTCTTTCTTTAAATCTGTAACGAAAAAAAGACTGGCGATTCTATTCAACAGAAATAGTGATGCGAGTAATAACGACAGAACTAATAGCATCAGTATTTAATTGTTAATTAGCACTAATATTTAATAGCCTAGCAACATCAATGTACATTTTGTCCGGATGTTGTGTAGTCATCAGGCAAAATATCATCTCTATCATCGTCGATCGATATTAAGAATCGCAAAGAAATTAAGCTCTATTATAGATCAATATACCTCCGACATCGTCCGTGTTATGTGTGTTAAAATGTGTTACATTCATTCTGGATAATAAAATAATACCGTAGATCATTTTCACAGAATGCATTAATGGATCCATCAATTTCAACTGCATTTTACAACACTCTACTTTCCGTTTAACTAAACATGTGTATCTTACGTTTTCAGTTTATAAACGCAGAGGATGTTGTAAGAGTGTAGATAAAGAGAGTAGATCCGCACTACCGCTTAAACATCATTTCATTTCACATAAATGTAACAAGCCGCGAGTATTAGTATTCCGTGTTAATTACATTTACAATTAATCTCGTATTTACACGTTATCCATTACTTAAAACATAATATAATTCCATCTAATGTTGTTTCACTCTCATTTTATCGGCAATAAGAAGAGACGTACCGATCAAAGTCCAGTATGTACACGAATATAAAGTAGATTAAATAGATTATTTATGATAAAGAAGAAATAATTACGATAAGCTAAAAAGGAATCTTGATCTTTTCCCTATAATCTTTATATAGATCTTAAGGATCATGAACAATTACCAGTTGTGACATTAAAATGTGAATCTAAGAGGGTCATATACATTTTATATATAACAATACCTTATGTACATTATCGTGAGCATCTCGCAAAGTTACTGTAATAAAAAAAGAAGAAAAAAACGGAAGAAAATATCATGTGTAACTAGATCTCTCGATTTGTGTGCTATCTAAAAAGTGAAATATGAAAAATATATATACATATATAAATATATATATCTCGACTTTGAACTAAACATTATGTATGCGCATGTTTTGTGACATGCACGATTGCTGAATTTCTGCAAATAAAACCTTTGCGTAACTATAAAGGTTTCTTATTCGTTAATACTAAAATTTCAATGTCTTGAAAAAAATGAGTGCACATCTATAAAAATATATTAATCAACATAGTGCGAATGGTTAAAGAAACTTTGTGAAAATTTTGCATTGAATCAGATCGGTGACCAATGACTCTCGATCATACTTACATGCAGATTAATTAATTAATGATTAATGCTACCAAAGAATGTGTATTTTTCATACAACTTGTTGAGGATTTAAACTCACGTTTCTATTCTCTCGACACAGTTACAAAATAAAAAAAAAAACTATCAAGCTTAACGCTCAATCAGTATCTCGCGGTTCAAGCATTTTAACTATGCTTGAGAGAAATGACATTATCGATACCCGGATAATAAAGTAAGTTTCAGACTTATTTTACACTATACAGTAATGATTTTATTAAATTTAATGCG